CGTGAGGATATGTTGAGTGATGTGAGGAGGCTTTCAGGCCTCGAGTGTTATATGAGGAGGCTTTCAGGCCTCGTGTGTGATGTGTGAAGGCTTTCAGGCCTATTGATATTGTGCTTGGGCTGTAGGAGCCCCTCCGGAGTCTGTACACACCCCCAGTGAGCGCAGGGTACCCAGGTGAGTTGGGAGTGGGCCCGAGAGGCCGTTGCTTGTGTGTGGTGAGTTGGGAGTGAGCCCGAGGGGCTGATGTTGTGTGCTGGTGAGTTGGGAGTGAGCCCGAGGGGCTGATACTATACTGAGATTTACATATTGAGCCCGAGGGGCAAGCTTTTGATTTATCCTTACTGTGGAAATTATTTGTCTTTACTGTTTTAAAAGAAGAACTATCTGATACTCATTATTTTACTGTATAGCTGATTTTTCTGCTTGGGATAGCGCTATATTGTGCCGTTATGAGATTTTATGTTTTCAGTCGTTATTTATTTTTATTACTCACTGGGTCGAAGTACTCACATTACTCCCTGCACCATGTGTGCAGATACAGGCAGAGCTGAGTTCGCTCCTGAACGTTGATTCTTTCCAGGCCAGGCGGTGACCAGGAGTAACGAGGTAGCTGTTGACGTCTGCAGCCCCGTTTTCTCCCTTATCTTTGTTATTTATGATAATTCCAGACTTTGTAAAATATTAGTAAACTCTGTAGTAGCTCATGACTTGTGACACCCCAATTTCGGGCTGAGTTGGGATGGTTTTCCTTGTTCTATCACGTTTATTTCGCATTTAAGATTATATTGCCCATGATTTAGACTTATTCCTGCTAAGTAATTATAAAGAGATGTACTGTTTTGTTGATTGGATGGCCTTGCCCTCACGAGAGGCGCCATCACGACCGTGTTGGAATTTTGGGTCGTGACAAAAAATGAAGTTGAAACACAACTTAACATGAAAATCAAAATGATAAGAAGTGATAGGGGTGGTGAATATGAATCTCCTTTTGAACAAATATGTTTAGAATATGAAATTATTCATCAAACAACGGCCCCTTACCCGCCCCAATCTAATGGGATTGCAGAAAGAAAGAATTGTTCATTAAAGGAGATGATGAATGTATTATTGATAAGTTCTGGTTTGCCACAGAACTTGTGGAGGGAAGTCGTTCTTACGGCTAATCGAATACTAAATAGAGTACCCCATAGCAAAACACAATCCATTCCTTATGAAAATGGAAAGGAAGGAAGCTCAACTTGAATTATTTTAAAGTGTGGGAGTGTTTGACAAAAGTGCAAGTTCCTAAACCCAAAAAGGTAAAAATTGGACCGAAAACCATTGATTGTATTTTCATAGGATATGCGACCAATAGTAAAGCATATCAATTTATGGTTCATAAATCAGAAAATCACGATAATTATAATAATACGGTTATAGAATCAGATAATGCTGAGTTGTTTAAAACTATATATCCGTATAAAAAGGAATGTGAGTAGATTGGTGAAGGATCTAAATGACCTCGGAAAGAAATAAAAGAAAGTACATTTAATCAGGAGGATCCAAGACGTAGTAAACATCAAAGAACATCTACTTCATTTGGACCAGATTTTGTGACTTTCTTGTTGGAAAATGAGCCTCGAACATTTAAAAAAACTATGTCTTCTTGGGAATCATTGTTTTGGAAAGAGGCAATCAACAGTGAAATAGAATCCATATTGAACAACCATACATGGGAATTGGTTGATCGTCCTCCTAGAAATAAACCTTTGGGTTCTAAATGGATTTTTAAGAGAAAAATGAAAGATGATGGCACTATTGAAAAATTTAAGGCAAGACTTGTAATCAAAGGATATAGACAACGAGAAGGTCTTGACTACTTTGATACATACTCTTCAGTTACAAGAATTACATCCATATGGATGTTAGTAGCATTAGTTGCGGTGTATGGTCTTGAAATTCATCAAATGGACGTTAAGGCGACTTTCTTGAATGGAGATTTGAAGGAAGAAATCTACATGGAATAACCTGAAGGGTTTGTGGTTTCAGGTAAAGAAAAGAAGGTCTGTAGACTTGTTAAGTCCCTTTACGGACTAAAACAAGCACCCAAACAATGGCATGCGAAATTTGGCCAAACAATGTTGTCAAATGATTTTAAGATAAATGTGTGTGCATTAAAAATGTTTCAAATTACATAGTCATTGTTTGCTTATATGTGGACGATATGCTGATAATGAGTAATGACATTGCCAACATAAATGCTACTAAACGTATGCTAACTAGCAAGTTTGATATGAAGGACTTGGGAGTTGCTGATTTAATTCTAGGGATTAAGATCCATAAGACTCCTCAAGGTCTGGCATTATCACAATTTTATTATATTAAGGCAGTACTTGAAAAATTCAAGCACTTAGGGTTTAAAATTGCAAAGACTCCAATTGACGTAAATCTTGCATTAGCAAAGTACAAAGGCCAAAGCATATCACAATTGAATTATGCTCGTGTGTTGGGATGCCTAATGTATATCATGAATTGTACATGACCAGATATAGTTTGGGCTATAAGTAAATTAAGTCAATACACGAGCAGTCCAGGTCAATCTCATTGGATGGAAATGAAACGAGTTTTGGGATATTTAGAACATACCCAGGACTTTGTTTTGCACTATAGTAAATATCCTGCGGTCATTGAGGGATACTGTGATGCAAATTGGATCACCGGATCAACTGATTCTAAGTCCACAAGTGGATATGTATTCACTATTGGTGGAGGAGCGGTATCTTGGAAGTCGTCCAAACAAACATGTATTGCCCGCTATACAATGGAGGTTGAGTTCATAGCCTTAGATAAAGCCGGTGAAGAAGCTGAATGGCTCCGAAATTTCTTGGAAGTCATTCCATTTTGGCCCAGACCGTTGGCACCAATGTGCATACATTGTGATAGTCAAGCGGCAATTGGAAGGACTGGGAGCGTTATGTATAATGGTATATCTCGTCATATATGACGAAGACATAAAACCGTTAGGCAATTACTCTCTAGAGGAATTATCATGATTATCTATGTAAAGTCAAGCGATAATGTGTTGGATCCACTTACAAAAGACCTAACTAGAGAGGTAGTTGAGAAGTCATAAAGGGGAATGGGACTATGGCCAAGAACAAGTCATTGTAGCAGTAACTCTACCTAGAAGACTGGAGATCCCAAGATCTAAGTTCAAGGAGATCAAACAAAGTTATTAATGACGGTTCAACATTGTCAACTAAAATTTTGGTCCATTCTCGAGATGAGACAATGTTTAGTACCAAGGATAAAGCATTAAGGTTTTTTAATAATTTCTAAATTTGATACGGGGTATGTCAAATAGTGTATCTATGGGATGACACGTTCAGAAATCACCTATGTAAGTATGAAGTGTCAGCCACTTCAAGGAGAACTTTGTAAGGCCAGTTCTCTACGCACTTATGAAACTAGGCGGTGTTCATGGCTGAAACGAACAAAACAGTGAGAACCAAAGACGGATAAGGGTTGGTTGTGTAACTTATGGTTGTCTAGATATACACCAAAGTTCGACAGTTCAAAGATATCAAATCTACCGATTGACCGAGTATATCCGACATAAGTTCACTACGAAAAGTTCAAAGGGAAACCTACTTATCCAAATGCAATTAATCCTTGCTTGCGAATCACACAGTTTTTTTCATGCATATTTCCGTGATATAGCCATTCCCCATTCATGTAGGGGATTGTTGGGCTTTAAGCATTAATATGGCTAAAAAGAGGGTGAATGGGAAATTGAGGAAAATAAAATTTTTAAGTGAAATTTTAAGTCCCCCTCCCCCTCCCCCCTTGATAAAGGAACATTGTCCCATATTGGAAGAGGAAGAGGTTTATATTAGCTCTTAAAGAGTCGAGAAGAAGGCAAGTCTCGTGCCGTCGTGATCGTCGCTCGGCTCGGCTACTGCTTCGGATTCGGATTCGGGTTTGGATTTGATCAAATGATCGATTGATTGATTAATTTTTTGGACCAAATTTGTTTGTTAATAGTAAATATTAACAAAAATATTATTAAATATCCGTTTTAATAACAAAATATTAATATTAAATCCAAGAATATTAATATTGAAATCCAACCGTTTCCATTTTTCCGTTTTCTGTTTTGGTAACAGAAAATTAACTACCCTCTTCAATTTTTCCTCTTTATTTTCCCTTTTTATTGTTGAGTAAATAGCTATTTATGTTATGGCATTTATGTTGTGGTCGTTTTGCATAAACAGTCATTCTGTAGAGTTGCACCTCCTCAGATTTTAGCCCAACATACTATAAATACAAGTCCATTCTCTCAGATTTTTCATACGATTTTCTGAGTTTCTCCTCCTTCTTCTGCATTATTTTAACTTCAAAGAAAGCAACAGTAAATGTGATTTGCTACCGAACTTTGTGTTCGCTGAAACACTGGGGTTTGAAGTACCACTACACCAGTGTGTAATTCGTTCTATCCTGGGAGGAAATAATCCATAACCTTGGGTACTATGAGGGGATTAAATTTCTTAAGGAAACACTGTGAATTCAGTGGGCTCGGATTAACTTTTGTTTCTTTACATTTTCTGTTTATATGTTATTCGCCATATCCTGTCTGATCACCTCTCCCCAATACTTCTTAGCCCGCCCACTACCTCTTCTGGAGTAAAACGAAAACCCTAAATCATTAAACTTATTTTTTATTTTAATTTTATTTTTGTGAAGGAAACCACTAATTCCGGAATTGAAAATTCTGAAAAACAGTAAGCTCTGTGTCCTCAAAGTCAACTGTCCTTAACGTGACAACTAATGCTAATTCAGCTAACAGAATATAGCGAAGTATAATTAAAAAATTTGTGGAGTGGTTATACAATATCTGGCAACTAATATAAAAGTCTAAGCAAAGAGAAGAGAAAAACATCCTAAGTAGTATAAAATGTTGTTTTGTATGTAAAGGCTTAGTATCAAACATCTGAATTTCTCTCCTAATTCCCTTTTGCAGTTCAACTTCATCACTTTTTTTCTTCTTTATCACAACTTTTGAGATGTCTTCTAACCGATACTTGTCTTCAAAGAATCGTCTTTTTGAACGTCTGCAACAACTTGACGATATTTTTTACTTCCCTAATACTACGAAAGATACAGTCAGGTTCGTTAAACGGGAATTCAAATTCCTGGATATATTTCTCAGCTTGCAGAGCTTCACATATGAATGTCCCAACATGCTAGATGTCGTTCAGAAAGTTCAAGCTCTATTTGAAGATGCTCTATTTGACTTTTCTGAATTATACCTAGCCGAGTACTTTGATCTTTGTCCCTTTATTGTACAAAACAAGATTTGGTCGATTAAGATGGAAATTAGAGCCAAATACTCCTTTCCTAAAATATCATCCTCACCATTTTCGGCCAACAAGGATGGTATTGCAATTCTCAATTTTTTTACTAAATTCATCGATACTGTGGTAGAGAATCTTTGTGATCTAGTTGTTGATTCTTGTTCACTTCTTTATGTTCCTGAAAACAAGGAACATACTGAAGATGTTTTAAAGGAATTGAAATTGGTGCAATATTTCGTTTGCTTTGTTTCAGAGAGGTTCATAGAACCTCAGAGCCAATATCATGTTAGTTTCTTCACTCATGTTTTAGCTGTGGTTGGTCATGCATCAATGCTTGCCTGGTTTTATCTTTCAGGCCGTGGGTACGAAAATCAAGATGTGATTGTTGTAGGTGAAATCAATGTTTTTCTTTTCTTGCAAATGGAGTTAAAGCCCATTAGCACAGTGATATACCCCACCATACGGAAGGCGTTTCAATCTAAATTGCCTAGGATTCATGGACTAGGCTATGTTGATTTCCTTTTGAACAACCTGAAGGAGTTCCAAAGCCGCCATTCAAATTCACTAGCTTCTGTCACGAACCAAATTCTAATAATTCAGAAGGAACTCGAGAGCTTGCAACCTTTTCTCAAGGCTATTACAGAAGGGCGAGACAATGACCTCGACAAAATTCACCGTTGTGCTACACAATTGATTGGCAAAGCATATGAGGTAGAGTACATAGTTGATGCATGTATATGCAAAGAAGCTCCTGTATGGTTCCTCGAGCGTTGGCTCTTGGATATCATAGAGGAGATTACTGTTATCAGAGCAGACGTAGCAAAGATTCAAGAAAAGAAAATGGCTGGGGATACGAAGAACACTAGTACGTCTCATGCGTCATCAAGTTCGGCAAGCACTCCAAGGATGAATGAAGAAATTGTAGGTTTCAAGGATGTCATAGAAAAGTTAAGAGACCAACTAATAAAAGGAACCAGAGGGCGAGACGTTATCTCAATTTCTGGCATGCCAGGTCTAGGCAAGACGACTCTGGCCTACAGACTATACTCTGATAGGTTAGTTGTTTCTCACTTTGATATTCGTGCACAATGTTGTGTATCTCAAGAATATTCACGTAAGAACTTGTTATTGGTCATTCTACGTGATGTTATTGGTAAAGACTCTAAAAGTAGAGAAAGCTGCGCTGATCATGAACTAGCTGATGAGCTTCGTAGAGTTTTACTCTCCAAAAGATATCTCGTCCTTCTTGATGACGTGTGGGAAGCTAGTGCTTGGGATGATCTAATAGGTTGTTTTCAAGATACCAATAATGGAAGTAGAATCATTGTAACAACGCGAAATAATGAGGTTGCCAATTATGCTCGATTTCGAAGTGATCCCCTTTCCCTTCGTATGTTTAACGATGATGAAAGTTGGGAGTTACTTCGAAAGAAGGTTTTTGGTGAAGAAAGATGCCCCCCTCTCTTAAATAATATTGGGCAACAAATTGCAAAAAAGTGTGGTCGGTTACCTCTTTCAATTGCTTTGGTGGGTGGTATTCTTGCAGAGACGGAGAAGAAAGAAGAATGTTGGGAACAAGTGGGCAATAATTTAGTTCCCCACATTCACGGCGATTCAAGGTCCATTATAGAACATAGTTATCGGATTTTACCCTACCATATAAAGCTTTGCTTTCTTTACTTTGGAGCATTCTTAGAGGACAGTGTGATTAACGTTTCGAAATTGACACGCATGTGGATCTCCGAAGGATTCATAAAATGTTTTGAAGGCAAGAGTTTGGAGGATATAGCAGAAGGCTATTTGGGAAATCTTATTGGAAGAAATCTAGTGATGGGAACTAAAAGGAGCATTGGAGGTAAGATTAAAGCATGTCGAATACATGACCTATTGCATGATTTCTGCAAGGAGAGAGCAAAGAAAGAGAATCTTCTCCTATGGATAAAACGGTAATTTACCATTTAGTGTACGCAATGTTCAAGTTGTATAATTTTACATACTAATTTCTATATTCACAGGGATCAAAATACCAGGCAATTTTCTCATCGCATGTCCATTTATGGTGAAAGGTATCATACTGAAGAGCGTAGCTCGTGTTGGTCACATGTTGATTCTATAATTTTGCATTATAATTGCCTTGTAGTTGGTACTGTCTCCCATATTTTTCGCAGCTTCAAGTTTCTAAAAGTGCTGGATTTGGAGTTCACTAGTATTGGTTCTTTCCCATCTGATCTAGTTTACTTGAGGTATTTCGCTGCAACTTGGGAGTCGGGTTATTCTGCTGCAAAAGCTTGGAAGTCGTCGATTTCATCATTCACAGCCAATCGTTGGAACCTTGAAACTCTTATATTAAAAGGGGCTCGAGGAAGAAAGTTACCACCCATTACACTCTGTGAGATGGTTAAATTGAGACACTTGCACATTTATGAGTGCAAATTCACAATAAAAAATGCAGAAGAATATCTTGAAAACTGCAAAACACTTTATGATCTGAGAACTCTTTCCTATCCATGTTTTTCTTGTGTCCTGGATGTGGAAATGATTTTGAGAAATACACCTAATCTACGGGAACTGAGATGCCAAGTCCACGGTACCAAGTTTTACTATAGAGAGAATTTTCAAAGGCAGACTGAAAAGTACTATGTATTGAATTTTCCTGCACAGCTTGAAATGCTGCAGATTAGTCGTAAGTCGTCATTTCACATTGATGAAAATACCCTCCCCTTTTGCATCTCTTCACCAAACCTCAAAAACCTGAGACTAGAGAAGTTTCACCTGCATCCTCGTCACTTTTCAGCAATTGCTTCGCTTCAGAACCTTAAAGTACTCAAACTGAAATACATTCTGAGTGGCTCTATAAAATGGAAAGTGAGCAATGGCGAGTTCCTTCAGCTCGAAGTCTTGGAACTAGATGACCTCCGCATTGGAGGATGGATTGTCGAGGACGATGCCTTTCCTAACCTTCAACACTTGATTTTGCTTGAATGCAAATCTCTAAAGGAGATCCCTTCTTGTTTCGGAGACATCTCTTCTCTGAAATCCATTAAGGTAGAGGAGTGCAACGAATCTGTTAACAAGTCGGCGAGGGATATCTGGAATACACAAGTTGAAGATTATCAGAATTATGGTTTCGAGGTCTTTATCAGCGCGACAAGGCATTACTATTCATATTCAGGTACACTACATAGAAAATTCAACTACGTATGCTAGAAGCCTATAGTTTTTATCAATGTAAGCAATTAATTAGTGATTCCCTCCTTATAAATATTCTGTTGTCAAAGTAAATGCAGATGATTGAAAATGATTTATAAATAAAATTATTCCTCAAACAAAAAAATTTACACCTTTAATATGTCATATAGCTTTAGCTTATATGTCAAAAGTCTTTTCTTTTTCTTCGTAAACTCTGGGTCCAATCAAACACCTTCATGTAAAATGAGATGGAGGGAGTACTACTTTGAGCTATTAACTCATTGGGACTTTTTTCTACAGACTATGAAGACTAGAGCTCAGTGATAGCTTAATTGCAGGAATTCTGTGAAGAACTCGAGGATTAAGCAACTGAGTCAGGAGCTTTACTGAGAAGCTCGAGAAGATCAGCAATGGAAAAGAAAGAAAGAAGATGAATTGAGCGAAATTAGAGAGGAAATTGTAATATTTTCCATTGATGATTGTAATATGTACATTCAGATGTTTTACAGTACTGAATCTGTTGAATTACACTGAGTAGAATCCTATTGCATGTCTTGTTCATAACCTATTGCATGATTATTGCAAGGAGAGCAAAGGAAGAGAATCTTCTCCTATGGATAAGACAGTAATATACAATTAGTGTTACTCTTTTCATTCAATTATTTAAGTGTTCAAGTTACATTGACGATAAATATAATCTTGTGATTTTATAATTTATGTATTCACAGGAATCAAAATGCCAATCCTTCTTCCCCAGCCTATTATTCACAGCTTGCTCATCGCATTTCCATTCATAGTGAAGAGTATCATATTAGAAAATGGAGCTCGTGTCCGCCATATGCCAGCTCTGTAGTTGTGCACAACGAAAGCATTTCACCCAGGGGCAAAGCTACATTCTCTTAAGGGTGGTCAATTGACCACCCTTCATCGAAGAATTACATTGTGTATATAGATAAAATATTAGGTTTTATAGGTGGATAACATATACTGAACACTCTTTGTCGAGAAATTTTTTAGAAGAAAACTATAAGCCCTTCCATTCATTTGGTTTATGGCTAAGTTGTTATTTGTATTTAATGCTTACTACATGTCTATTTTACTTAGCGATAGTGTTTATGTGCAGACAAGGTATGTCGTCACAGCTGGTTGAGGGCATATGGACTCACAAGGTTCCCCGGACAGTATATTGGAGAAAGATTAACTCCCTCAAGAATCAGATGCAAAGCTGGTATGTGCAGACAAGGTACGTCATCAAAGCTGGTGGAGGATATTCAATCACCAGCAGCAATTTGGAGCTAATAGGAGAACATAGTAAGCTGGAAGAGGCAGATCTCATTTGGAACTCAGTGGCTCAACCTAAGCACATTTCATTATGTGGTTAGCTGTCCATGGAAGATTACTGTTCCATAGGCCGAGTAGGATGTAATCTCACAAGTGGGATCTAGGGAGGTAGGATGTGCGTAGCCTTACCCCTACCCTGTAAGATAAAGAGGAAAATTGTACAAAGAGTTGAGTTGTTTAGATCATCAAAAAAGACACATAGAAGTAGATTGTTTTTGCATAGATTACTTGGTACTTTTCGAATACATATCAATACTAGTATACATGTTTTTGCATAGATTACTTGTAACTAGTTTTCTGTCGGAGGCTTATTGCTCATAGGTGCTCTTTTAGGTGTACTATTTTTGTTTGTTAATGGTAATATTCACGTTACCAAAAAAAAATAATGTAAAATTGTTCATTAATTGGTTATTTGAATTCATAAAATTTTGAGTTTAACTGTGAGTCAAAATACTGATGCAATCAAGAAAATTATCCAAGTATTTTAAGCTGTCTTGAGGTGTATGATTTGACCTAATTTGTTTATATTTTAATACCCTAGTGCTTTTCATCAATTCACCAAAATTCTGTTACGTCACTGTGCCAAAAATATTGCTCCTTCAACATGCATAATTAATCAATGCTTTGTTTGCTCCTTTGATTGCCCTGTTACACATTAATCATGTCTCAAGGTTTTTTTGGTTTGTTCATGAATATCGGGTTGATTCTGAAAACCATTTCAGGCCGGCATGAAATAGGCAACACATAAATTTTCAATACCGAATTCTAAGTCCCAACTCTCTTCTCTCTCGGAGGTGCGAATTAATGGCAGCTATGGCTGACAGAAATATAAAGTTTGTCGTCTTCTACACCATTGCCAACTGAAAAAAGCTTGGGGCTTTGACGAAATTCATCTTCCTATGCTATAATTGCTCCTCGCAAAACAAGGTAAAACTCCAGTTTTAATTGGTTAATGTAATTGAGGAGTGGAATTACTATGCTTCTGGTCTAGTCTTCTTTGTCATCTTGAAGCTGGTGTATTTGCTAAGTCAGTGTCGAGACGCCCCTGTACTGTTTGTTAAAATGCCTGAAAGTGATTGGAAGTATGTTGTATGTAAATTTCAAGTACTGTAGTTCAGTGAACTAAATTTAGCATCTTTTAGTTCGTCTATTAGTAGGCTAATTGGACAAAAAAATGGGAAAAACAAGATGATTTTGATTCTGATTTCCTTAACTCCTTATGATTGTAATAGGTGATGGAAAATAGAAGCCATTGTGTCAATTTGAGTTAATTGTATACGATATTCTTCTTTATAAGTTTTTTTAAAAGACTAACTAAGGATTTATCTTCTTTTTTCCCCTTCAATTATAAGGCCCGAGATCATGCAGCTTCGAGAAGAAATTTTGTATACTTTTCTAGTTTAATGAAAAGTACCCCCTGTTGTCTAAACAGGTGCACTAATTCTGTTAATTATTTATTTTTGTCGGGAAGAGTAGTCTTGGAGCAATGGTAAAATCGTCTACATGTTCGAGCCGTGGAAGCCGTCATTAAATGCTTGCATTAGCGTAAGTTGTGTCACACCTCCTTTTTACACACCCGAAGGTAGTACAAGGGAGTTTTTCCACTTTAAGTGACATTATTCGAAATGAGATTATTTATTTCTTTTTATTCAGAGTCGCCACTTGAGATAGTTTGTTTTCTGGTGTCTCAAGTCACCGGTTTATTTTTAAAATCCCAAATCAAGGAAAATTCGACTTTCCTTTTGAAGTCTGCGAACCAAAAATTCTGAATAAGGAATTCTGTTAACCCGAGGGAAGGTGTTAGGCACCTCCGGATTTCGTGGTTCTAGCACGGTCGCTTAAACTATCATAATTAGCCTATTATCTGATTTTAAAACATGTTTTAGCCTATGGTATAATTTTAAATTATTAACCACTTTTAATTAATTTTAGAAAGATTCAACGTTATTTAAAACACACATTGAACCACGCCACATGAAATGCACCCGCAGTCCACGACACATTTTATTTAACGTTGTTCAGAATTGAAATCGGGTCACATGAAATGCACCCCCGAATTTAACAAATAAAGGAAATCAATTTAAATAGCGCGCCTAAAGCAACTACGCATTTATTATTTTCCTAATCTTTGAGATTATTAGAAGACCATAAATTATGAAAATTATTGAAAATGGGCTCGCAACTGATTTATTTAGTCAAAATCTTAAAGGTCTTGTTTTCTATATATTTTTTTCCCCGGACATTACTACATCGAAATTAACTAAAGCCTCCAAGTTTACTCTAGTGGCACAATTTTTAACCCAAAATTCATTCTTATGTTATTACTACAATACCCAAATGTTACAAGAAAAATTCCAATCCGAATTTCAAATCTACTCTTCTTTATCAGTTAGTTTACTCTATTAATCTAAACTGATCAACTCAAAATACAAAATAAAGATAACATATTAAATTATTTACTAAACTAATTACAATAAAATCAAATGAACCAAAAATACGGTAGGCATTCATGAGAGATTTGAGCAAAAAAAATGAACGAACAAGACTTGTAGTAAGTAGAAGAAAGCCATTAAAACAAATTTAATATTAACTCAATGAGTAAACAAAAAGAATAACCAAAATATTAAATAGAAAACTTGAGCGAATACCATATAAACATGGAATGAAATGGGAAGATTGACATTTATATTGACAAATCTGACTTGAGTATTACATCCGCACTCTAAAGGCGAACCAAGCGTAGGAGCTTGACCACTGAATGGAGCTCGGAACCTCGTCGTCAACTCGAACCTGACTCAAAACCAATTGCCCGCTACTTTGAGGAAGAACAACAAGGATATGGTGTTAAGCTACTGGGTTATGGAGTTTTAGAGGTGAAAATGGGCTGGTTTGGGTTCATTTTGGACTGTTTTTCAAGAAGGAAGAAAGGGAGGGATTTTGATGGTGTTAACTGGTGGTTAATGGAGGTTCATAGCTGCATTTCCGAGCAGATTTGTTCAGCTCGTTTTTTGAGCATTTTGAGATCGTTTCTTAGCAGCTTTTCTATGACCTTTTAATGGGGTTTCACGGAGATTTTTACATGATTTTCATGGAAGATGGTGGTTGGTTGTTGGTGAGTTATGGCTTGAGAAGAAAGAAGAAAATGGAAGAAGATGGGGGGAATCTTGATAAGAAGCAGCAACGTTTTTGTGTGTAAGACTGCCCCCTCTTTCTTTTTTTGTGTGTTATATATAGAGAGAATGATGAAGGAGTGAGTTAAGTAAATATTATTTTTTTGGGAGAGTTGGGAACATGAGTGGAGAAAGTGGAAAGAGTGGATAGTGAGTGGAAAAAGTTGGTAGTGAGTGGAGAAATTGGGAAAAGTGGGTAGTGAGTGGAAAAAGTTGGTAGTGAGTGGAGAAAGTGGGGAAAGTGGGTAGTGAGTGGGGAAAGTAGGTAGTGAGTGAAGAAAGTGAGTAGTGAGTGGAGAAAGTGGGAATAAATTCAAACATGGTCAAAAATTAGTTGCTTACAGTTGCCCCTCTTTGTTTGGAAACATGAAGAGTTTTCAAGCAAAGATAAGGTGAGCCATGTGACTAATTTTTGCCCGTTTGAAACTCCATTTGGAAGCATTTTGAAAAAGTTTGACCGAACCTTGCTTCGGAGGTTGCCTACATATCCTTGGCTATAAAAGAATTAGGTCGGTGTAGTTCTGAAAGTTTTGGTAGCTGGGACTAACGGAAAACTGTGATTTTAGTGTTGTTGTTGTTGCTACTGCTTGCTGAACTCCTTATTACACCAAAATGAAAAATGAAAAGCTAAGCTAGCTAAGCACATCAAATACGAGTTACAAGATTCCTATCTATAAATCTCTTGAAACTTGATCTTGAGTCTTAGTTGGCTCTTGTTGTGGACTCCGATCTGAATCTTGATGCTCGTCAGTTGTAGGTGTTGGTTCTTTCTTCAGCTTTGGATCAAGTCGGGACATGTGAAGCCTGTGATTTCAATCGAATCTTGGGCAGTCCGCATCTTTCTCCGTTTCAACCTTTTGAATACACTTCTTTGGTTCTTTTCTTCTTTTTGGATTGAGACTCATTCTTTGATCGTCTCGGACTTTGTGCCTCGAGGCCAAACCTGCTCAGACACTAAAACAAACAAACGAACGAAAATTTTCTGCCCCAGTTTTCACTAGGAAAATTTTGTGAATTATTTGCAATACAAATCTAAGCTATTTTTTTATTGAAAGCAATAAAAGTCAGGATTGCGTATCCTTGGGAATAGGGGTGAAGCCCTAAATTGAGAAGGTTGCCAGATTATGCTGGAAAGATAACTGGGTTATGCCGGAAA